CTGAAAACAAGAAGAAGAGGGACTTTTAATATCATCATTAGAATATCCTCCATCTTTACATCGTCTGACCCAACAGAACCAAACACACTGAAGAGAGAGAGAGAGAGAGAGAGAGAGAGAGAGAGAGAGAGGTGGAGGGAGCATGTCTCCATAAATAATTCTCTTTGCAACAGACAGCTGTTTATTATTCATATAAAGCCCTCATGACCCAGAAACAGCTCGGTGTGAGCACAGCTGGAAGAGGAAGAAGAGGAAGAGAAGGAAGAGGAGGAATAGGAGGAAAAGGAGGAGGAAGAGGATGGAGGATGGAGAGGAAGGGAGAAAAAGAGGAGGGAGAAACACGAGAAGGAAGAGGAGCTGCAGGAAGGACACAAGATTAGAAAACTAACCAAGGACTGAGACTCAAGAAGAAGTTCATCCAAACCGGCCGGAGAAAGATGACTGAAGTTTAAAGGAGCAGTATGTAACTCTGACCCCTAGTGTTTAACATGGGTACTACAGTCTAAATTCTAAACATTGTAGAGAGCTGTCCTGTGGATTTTGGAAATAGTTGAGTATCACTGATGTCCATACAAGGCGTTAACACACACACACACACACACACACACACACACACACACACACACACACACACACACACCGATCACATGTATTGACAGGAAGTAGGTCACAAAGGCTTTGCTATATGGCGTGGACGATTTGTCCCATGCGTCCTAAATCGTCATCTCAACTAAACACCTATGGAAGGTATAGGCTACTGTGACCTATATTAACTGTGTGTGTGTGTGTGTGTGTGTGTGTGTGTGTGTGTGTGTGTGTGTGTGTGTGTGTGTGTGTGTGCGTGCGTGTGTGTAACAGCTGTTCTCTAATCACCTCTGTAGGTATGATCTGCTGCAGCTACGCAGATGTTAGCATTGTGTACAGTTAGCAGAGCTTCACCTACACACAGTTATAATTAACGTGCAGCAGCTGCAGCAGAAGCAGCGGCGGCGGCGGCGGACAGTACAGAGTGAACATGATGGAGATGGTTTGATCTGCACGACATTAACAGATGAGGATGTTTTTTGAACATGACTGAAGACTTTTACTCGTGTCTTAGTTGAAACATGAACCTGCAGCTTTATCTTCAAACGTCTTTAAAACATAAAGTCAGTAGAAATGTTTGTAAACATTCAAACTAGGCCCCTCCTCCTGGGCTCATCACCCCCAGAAGCCCCGCCCCCTTCAGGATGTAGTGTGTACGTTTACTGCTTGTAGCTACACTGCAAGCTAACGCACGCTAACACAAGCTAACCGCCGGTGTTTGTCACCTGCCTGTCCAACAGGAAGTAGACCACCTCCACTTCCACGGGTAAAAGACAACACAAGGTTGAGAACGCCGTGCGTCTCACCTCACTGAGAACAAACTGCAGCTTTACGTGTCATGTGACTGCAACATAAAGCTGCTTCAAGCTGTTTCTGTTATGTTGTCCTCCTGTACGAGAGATCAGTGGATAGTACTGTAAATAAAACAGAGGCTGCCAAGATACACACACACACACACACACACACACACACACACACACACACACACACACACACACCCTCAGGGAGCGTCGCCATCGCAACCGTGCAGCAACCCCCATCATCATCTCTGTAACAGTTTGAGAGAGAGAGAGGAGGGGGAGGAGAGCTCAAGGGCAAAACACACACACACACAAACACCTGTGTGTGTGTGTGTGTGTGTGTGTGTGTGTGTGTGTGTGTGTGTGTTGGTGTGATCCATCTGGACTTCAAAAGGATCCGGGTGTCAGAGCTATGGCGTGATTTACAGAACAATATTTACTACTCTGCTTTGTGAATCTCAGTTTCCCCTTGTAAACGGGAAAGCATGTGGTGCTTTTATTTTGAAGGTGGACAAAGTGAAGTGTGGTGCTTTTATTTTGAAAGTGGACAAACTGAAGTGTGGTGCTTTTATTTTGAAAGTGGACAAACTGAAGTGTGGTGCTTTTTTTTTAAAGGTGGACAAACTGAAGTGTGGTGCTTTTAATTTGAAGGTGGACAAAGCAGAGCTGTTGAAAGCGTACGCTAACATTGAGGTGACTTATATCTCGAGCTCTCTATGAACACTAACATTTCAAGCGGGCCTCTCTTCCTCTCACCATGACGGTGTCCACTTTTCTTAGGCTCAGGTTCAGGTTCAGGCTCAGGCTCAGGCTCAGGCTCAGGCTCAGGCTCAGGCTCAGGCTCAGGCTCAGGCTCAGGCTCAGGTTCAGGCTCAGGCTCAGGTTCAGGCTCAGGCTCAGGCTCAGGCTCAGGCTCAGGCTCAGGCTCAGGCTCAGGCTCAGGTTCAGGCTCAGGCTCAGGCTCAGGCTCAGGTTCAGGTTCAGGTTCAGGTTCAGGCTCAGGCTCAGGCTCAGGTTCAGGTTCAGGCTCAGCCGGGGAGATGATGAAATCCCGACACACAAATGATTATCTTTTGTGGTTTGTCTTGTTGGATTAATTTGTGTTTTCAGACATCACTTCCTGTTTCCCTGCAGGAGCCTGTTAGTCCCTGAGACCCTGAAACATGTTCTCATAGGGACCAGGTTTAGACCCCCCCCCCCCCCTTCATCATACCACATGTTGTTAATCTGCATGCAGTAGCACAGTCTGAAAGGAGACGTTTAGATCCACACGATGAATCCACAGTTTGTCTGCTCTTTGTTCACAAACACAAACCAACATTCCTCCTCGCAGAGTTCTGATTCCTCCTGGGTTTTTAAACGCCACGGGGAAAAAAAGAAACGTGTGGTTAGAGAGAGAGACGCAGAAGAAGAGAGAACATTCAGACAAAGAGAGTGCAGGCAGACAGAGGCCGGGGGGAGTGGGGGGGGGGGGGTTAAGCACGCTGGTATGACTGTTATTCTGTGGTCGGAGAACGCAGCACAATTTATTGAGCAAGAAACCAACATGGTGACTTAACGCGGAAGAAATGAGGCTGACAGGCATGAGGAATGGAGGATTATGGGTAATGTTTCAGGCGTGACTCGTCTTTCTCGGAACGTGGAAATGTGCACGCTGATCTCATGAGTCAGACTCAAGTGTGAGAGGAAGAGACGGAGTAATGGAGAATCTCAGTTTCCCCTTTTAAACGGTACAACAAGTGGTGCTTTTATTTTGAAGGTGGATAAACTGAAGTGTGGTGCTTTTATTTTGAAGGTGGACAAACTGAAGTGTGGTGCTTTTATTTTGAAGGTGGATAAACTGAAGTGTGGGGTTTTTATTTTGAAGGTGGACAAACTGAAGTGTGGTGCTTTTATTTTGAAGGTGGATAAACTGAAGTGTGGGGTTTTTATTTTGAAGGTGGATAAACTGAAGTGTGGGGTTTTTATTTTGAAGGTGGACAAACTGAAGTGTGGTGCTTTTATTTTGAAGGTGGACAAACTGAAGTGTGGTGCTTTTATTTTGAAGGTGGACAAACTGAAGTGTGATGCTTTTATTTTGAAGGTGGATAAACTGAAGTGTGGGGTTTTTATTTTGAAGGTGCACAAACTGAAGTGTGGTGCTTTTATTTTGAAGGTGGACAAACTGAAGTGTGGGGCTTTTATTTTGAAGGTGGACAAACTGAAGTGTGGGGCTTTTATTTTGAAGGTGGATAAACTGAAGCGTGGGGTTTTTATTTTGAAGGTGGACAAACTGAAGTGTGGTGCTTTTATTTTGAAGGTGGACAAACTAAAGTGTGGTGCTTTTATTTTGAAGGTGGACAAACTAAAGTGTGGTGCTTTGTATTGAGCCGTTGACTCAGATCTCAACACTCAGAGGCTCGTCAATGAACGGCTCTCCGTGAGACGAATAATGTTTTTCTCCGAGTTGACACAGGTCAAAGGTCAACATGTCAATCATGATGTGGATATTATTAATGCAGCGTTATCTCCACTTTGCAAAACAAGCTAACGAGGAAAAAATAAACAATACGGACCGTGGTGCATGATGTGGAAACAAGACTTCCTGGAAATTGTCAGTTGGAGTTTAATGAGGTAGAAAATATTGTTCAGGTGAATAATGACAACAGCTGATTAAACAGATCAGGTGCAGAACATGACGCTCAGGAGGAAACAAGGAGGACAAAATGATGAGTCTGCATTAATTATAATGAGGAGAAGGAGGAGCGTCCCTCGAGTTCATCCTCCCCCCTGCATCAGTGTGAGCTGTACAAACACACACACACACACACACACACACACACACACACATATTTAACTCCACATTACAGTTATTTACAATCTCAGACGTGATGTGGAAAGTTCGGCCTGCAGACTCCATAAAAAGGAAACAGAAACACGTTCCAGCTCAAATAAAATCAAATACCTAAAAGTTCACGGAGCGTAAAGCTTTCATATATTTTAACTCTAACCCGTCTCACACTGATGACACAATCAGAAGACAATTTAACCTTTCAAGTTTTACCTCTCAGAGGTCAGGAGGTCGCGGGCACTGACGTCTGTGGACACAGGCGCTAAAGCAGCTTCAAGGATTTTGAAGGTGGACGAACTGAAATGTGGTGCTTTTATTTTGAAGGTGGACGAACTGAAGTGTGGTGCTTTTATTTTGAAGGTGGACAAACTGAAGTGTGGTGTATTTTGAAGGTGGACGAACTGAAGTGTGGTGCTTTTATTTTTAAGGTAGAAAAATTAAGTGTGGTGCTTTTATTGTGAAGGTGGACAAATTGAAGTGTGGTGCTTTTATTTTGAAAGTGGACAAACTGAAGTGTGGTGCTTTTATTTTGAAGGTGGACAAACTGAAGTGTGGTGCTTTTATTTTGAAGGTGGACGAACTGAAGTGTAGTGCTTTTATTTTGAAGGTAGAAAAATTAAGTGTGGTGCTTTTATTTTGAAGGTGGACAAATTGAAGAGTGGTGCTTTTATTTTGAAGGTAGACAAACTGAAGTGTGGTGCTTTTATTTTGAAAGTGGACAAATTGAAGTGTGGTGCTTTTATTTTGAAGGTGGACAAATTGAAGTGTGGTGCTTTTATTTTGAA